ACTTCACTTGTGTGTTGATGATGATGCTTCTCTGGATGATGAATTAATGGGTCTAATTCACCAAAGTACATACGGTCATTGGTGCTACAATTTTCAGTGGACAAGTGATCATGAGATAGAGTGTGACATCCAAGCGACCCAACAAGACCATTTTGATGATAATGATCATCCATTACCTGAGTACTAGTATTGTCTGAGCTTGCATTGTTCATGTTTAATGCCATGCTTGAAAAATCTAAAGCTGCCGGGTCGAATTCGCTTGGCAATTCTGGTAGTTGATGATCAGATCCGGTAGTACTATCTGAATTATCGGGCTTCTGCTTCAAGAAATTTGCATAAACAAGAGCAAGATCAATATGTGACCCATCTTGAGTCACTGAGGGACTTGTGGAATCACCCAACACGTTGGTGCCATAGGAATTATGAGCACCCTCATAAGTACTGGCCCTACTCTTATTTGTGTTGTGATGCGCGTGACCTTCTGTAGTGCTGGTGGTGTAGGTGGCGGATAGCCTTAAAGACTTGGACCCTCTTCTATTCCTGCGGCAGCCACCTCCGACGGGGACGTTCCTGAGGGACCCTCCTTTGGTCCAGTACCTCCTACACCCCTTGCAAAAGTACCTTGGCTGAGTTAAACTATAGTTGTTGTAGTAACAAAATTTGGTGTTGGAACAACCACACCGGGGACAATTGGGAGATATGTGATGATGATCATCGTTTGGTTTCCATCCTGCTCTCTCCATCACCAATGACCCAATTCTTCTTAGGCTTCATCAAAATTTCCAACACTCCCTCATCCTTTCAGAGTTGGAGAGAGAGAGAGAGAGAGAGAGAGAGAGAGAGAGAAGGCTGAGTTGGGTTGCATGTAAATGAAATAGTACAGTCTATACGCTTATATGGGGTAAAATAATTATAATTAAGAAAGAAGTAGTGTAGAGTACACAACCCCGTGCACATTGCACACTAGTATGTAGTGTGTTGAGAGATTTTCTCACATTGATAATGTAAACTCTGATTTTTCAATATATAATTATGGTCTTCAACGATTGCTAATTGATTTTGGTTCAAAGGTACGTTTTTAGTTCTATCGGAGTATCAGAATAAGCCTAATTTGTATTGTGTAATTATTTGGCTTAATTCATGCCAAGTTTGAGGATATGTGTTGAGATTTTATCTCATACATGTACGTAAGAACTTACAATTAATCTTCATTTTCAATATTTATGAGATTTGAACTCAGAATCTTTTCAATAAAATAAAAAGTGATCATCGTCAATGAACCAAATAGGCAATAGAAAGTTTCAAAATTTTGAGTTAAAATACTCTAATGCCATTAGTATTATGTAAGAGTGAAGTTTGTTGTATAGAAATGTTGACTGTGTGTATGCACCCGTGCACAGGAGGTTTCGGTGGCGTTGAGGCCGCAAAGGGAGTTAGGGTTGTGCGTGTGTCACGTCCCCGTAGGCTGATAGCGGGTGTCGGTGTTTGCCACACGTAGCACAAGGATAATGATGCCATGATCATGCACAGTCGTGAGGGAGTTGAAGGAAGCAAAACCCTCGAAAAGGGTAATTTCAGGTCCCTTTGAGGAGCAGGCAGCTTTCTTTATGATTTATGTTTAATTAAAACTAATCACTCCAATTTATTACTGATTGAGAATCCTCCTTTTCCTGACATGAAATTGAGACTCTCAACACGCCGTCTCACGTTTATTGAATTTTTAAGCTTAGCATATAGACACACTAATCAGGTGACGCACGTGTGGCCAACCTACTTTGATATCATGAAGAAAGTTGGGGTTCTAGAATAGCCCAACCTCTTATAAGCATTTGCAAGGTTTTTCCTTTCATCGATGTGGGACTCTTTAACCTTCACATCCTTACAGGTTAAAGTAATATGGTTCCCTTTGCATTCAAGTTGAGTCATCTCTCTATAATTTAGATTAATACAATGTAGACTGTCGCTAGCATAAAAATTGTGAGCACTAATTTAGTTTGGTTAACTACCTACCTTTGATCGGGAATGAGTGTAAAACCAATCCATATTGTACTTTAATTAGTATGCCTATCAATGGCATCGATCTGTTCTCAACCATATAAACCTAAACACAAATTGTTCGCTAGTCCTCATCTTTTGGTATTAAACACATTACACCAAGAACAAGTAAAAGTACTGCAAAGCTAGATCATGTGGGAGCTCTTGAGCCTAGAATTTCTTAAAGTGGGAATGTCCCTTGGGTCGGTGCTCAGCTACGCATATACAGTTATACTTTATGGAGGATCTCTTGGATCATGGGCTTCTTGGATCCGTAAGCTCGTGAATTTTATGTCTTTTGGGAAGGAAACCAATACTAAGCTTGGAAATTCTTCTTCACACATGTTTTTTCATAAATCTTAGCCGTTCTCTTTCGTCCTTTCATGCGCAGATGAGCAAAAGCTCATACTAAGCTTTAAGAAACACATCAGTAGAAGGGCGACGGATGAAAACATTCGTTGATATACTGTTGAAGGAAAATTTGTTGAGTGAGGGTAAAAGAGGGACGGCAAGAGAGAGAAAGAGAGAGAAAGAGAGAGCTTGGTGGTTGTGAATTGTACACGCTCTCTTATGACCTTATGCCTTTATTTATAGTAAGGTTGTGAATTGCATACGCTCGCTTGTGGCCTTATGCCTTATGTATACTAATCAAGTGGGCTTTAACAAGTAATGCAAGTCATAAAAGAATTAGATCTCCAAAATCCTATCATAATCTATTTTTAGATTTATACGATCACATTCCTAAATAATATTAACTACAACGATATTGATACTTTCATGAACGTTCATTGATATATTGACATTTTCATGAAATTATAGATTTTTTAAACCACTAACATTTCTGGAGGTCAAAAAAATTACCGTGTCGTCGAAATATTAAAGAACCTAATCATGAATGCTTCTGAAAATTAAGAAGTTTTTGCATATTAGTGTGTTACAATCTCAAGAACACACTCACATGCAATGTATTCATTTGATATGTCAAAGTTTATGAAAATTGTATGTTTAATTGATGAATATTTAATCAATTTCGTGTCCTTATAGTTTCATAGTCATTTTCTGTTCTTTAAAAACTTCCCAAAGTTTGCATCGATATCAATATTTCCATGAATATCTATGTCGATATTTCCACAAATATCAATATTTCCTAAACCCTAACAGGGACCATACAGGAAGAAAACTACAATTCCGCAAAATCTGGTTTTGAATCGGCACCCAAGCTCATTTCTTATACACGAGACATTATACTCAACGGCGAAGCCACTAACAAGGCTAGGGTGGGCTCTAGCATAGGGAGAGTTTTAGTTGTTTAAAGTTAAAAATACTGATAATTTAGATTATTTTATTATTTTTAATTGTTAAAGCCCACCCAATAAGTAAAAGTTCTGAACAAAATGACTACTTTTAAAAAAAGTAAGAGTTAATAAATATTAAATAAATTATTTACTTTAATCAATATCAAAATTTATTATTATTAAATTTCAAATTGCATACACACCCTGACACACACGTCCCATTAAGTCATTTTATTTGATTAGTTTCTAGGGTCCTAGGGAGTAGTATAGTGATTAGATTAGGTTTTCTAGGATAGCCATCCGGTTTTAAAAAGTACATTTATTATTTTATTATTTTAGGTTTCCTAGGAGTTGTACTAATTTATTATTATATTTCGACTTTTTGGGTTTCTGTCACTTTCAGAAAAGCTTTCGTCCCATCTATGTCGTCTACACTGCAATTCACAGAAACAGAATCACAGAAACCAAGCATACATTACAAGTGAGAAAACTGATTGATTTTTCTTATCAGGTAAGTTTTTAACCACTTTATTCTTATGTCTTGATGATTTTATTTGTTTATTGCTTTAATTTTAAGAATTCGTACTTTAAAATTTCGATTTCAAGTTTAATTTTTTTTTTCAGATAGTCTAATAGATTTCTTAGAAATATAATTTATTATATAAACTTGCATTATTGTTGTTCAATTTGTTAGGTTAACCTTCAATGAAGAGATTAAGAACTATTGATTCATTTTTCAAAAAAAGAGATGATGGTGATAAATTAGAGAGTGATATACCTTCTGCATCTAATGATAACGCACCAATATCAACTGAGCAGCCTCATGATTCTCACCAAACATCTAATATAATTGAACCTCAAGAAAAAGTTTTTGATGATGCTTCTTTGGAATTGGAACGAGACCCGGGGAAACGGATTCAAATACATGAGCATCCTATTAATCAACAAGATGAAGTTTGACGTGCTTATATCAAAGTTGGGCCTTACCAACAGAAATTTCTTGAGTATCCTAGGTCTCGGTTTGGATCACAATATCGTCGATTTCAGTATTCTTGGTTTTCACAATTTCCATGGTTAGAATATTCTCCGACAACAGATAGAGTATATTGTTTCCCATGCTTTCTTTTTGGGACTAGTCCAGCAAGTCGTCCGACACTAACTGTTGATGGGTTTAACAATTGGAAAAGAGTTAACAATGGAAAGAATTGTATATTTCTTTCTCATATTGGAGGTCCATCTTCATTACATAATACTTGTGTTTCACGTGTGGAGGAATTGATGAATCCATCTCAGCATGTTGACAAGGTTATTAATCGACAATCAAAAGAAGAAATTTTGAAGAATCGGTTGCAACTCAAGGCTACAATTGAGTGTGTTTGATGGCTTACATTTCAAGCATGTCCTTTTAGAGGATATGATGAATCAATGGGTTCGAAAAATCGTGGGAATTTTATTGAATTGGTAAAGCATACAGCCAAGTTTAATGATAAGGTGGCTGCAATTGTTTTAGAAAATGCACCAAAAAATGCCAAATATTTCTCACCCATGATCCAAAAGGAGGTTTTGAACATTCTCGCCAACATAGTATGAAGAAAAATTCGTGAAGAAGTTGGGGATGGTGTTTTTTGTATTCTTGTTGATGAAGCACATGATATTGCTCATAAAGAGCAAATGGCCATTATTTTAAGATTTGTTTATAATGATGGTTTTCTACGAGAACGGTTTTTAGATATTGTGTGGGTTGAAGACACTACTGCAACAACACTTCACAGGGAGATAAAAAAAGTCTTTGCTTTCCATGAGTTGCCTATAAACAAGTTACGAGGTCAAGGCTACGATGGTGCGAGTAATATGCGAGGTCAGTGGAATGGGCTACAATCTTTATTTATTAAAGAGTGTTCATCTGCTTATTACGTGCATTGTTTTGCTCATCAACTGCAATTGGCATTAGTTGCAGCATCAAAAGAAGTAGCTGTTATCTGGTTATTCTTTTCAAAATTAGGTTCAATTGTAAATGTTATTACTACTTCTCCAAAGCGTCATACTCAGCTGCAGGTTGCACACACAGTGAACATTGAAGAGTTAGTGGGTGCTGGTGAACTTGAGACGGGAAGAAGAGCTAATCAAATCGGTACTATACATCGACCTGGAGCTACTCGTTGGGGTTCTCATTATGATTCAGTGTGTGACTTGATACATATGTACGACGCGTCTTGTACAGTACTTGAGAACATAAAGAATGATAGATCTGCTACAAACTCTTTGCGTGGGGAAGCTACTGGTGCTTATAATGCAATCAGATCTTTTGAATTTACTTTCATCGTGCATCTATTGCAGGAGATCATGGGAATCACTGATATCCTTTGTCGTGAACTGCAAAATAAGTCACAAGACATTCTGAATGCTATGAATCTAGTCACTATTACAAAAGATGTCCTCCAGAAGTTGCGATTGGATGGTTGGGCTACCTTTATTGATAAAGTGAGTTTATTCTGCAAAAAACATGACATTGATATGCTCGATATGAATGCTCAATACAAAGTAGGAACTGGCCGTTCTTGTCAGCAAACAGATCATATTACATTTGAGCATCATTATCACATTGATATCTTCAATAATGCAATAGATTTTCAGTTGGCAGAGCTAAATAGCAGGTTTAGTGAGGAGGCAATGGAACTTCTTATTCTCAGTTCAGCTTTAGAACCAAGAGAAGCTTTTAAGGCGTTCAACATTGATCACATTTGCAAGCTTGCAGAGAAATTTTATTCTATGGATTTCACAGAAAAAAGAGCTACATACGTTGAGATGTGAGTTGAAAATCTATGAATCAGACGTACCGCATCATCCTGTCTTTCAAAAAATGTCTACTACTTCGGAATTATGTCGGGGATTTGTTGAAACAAAGAGGTCTGAAAGGTACTATTTGATTGATAGGTTAATTCGACTTGTATTAACTCTTCCCGTTTCTACAGCAACTACTGAACGAGCTTTTTCAGCAATGAATCTTATTAAAACAAGACGTCGCAACAAGATGGAAAGTGAATTTCTAGCAAATTCAATGGTTGTGTACATTGAAAAAGAGCTTGCTGAAAAGATTGATTCAGAAGAAATAACCAAGGATTTCAATTCCATTAAGGATCGAAGGGCACAACTTGAATAGGTACTTTTTCTTTCATTTGTTAAGTTGTTATGACAAGATTGATGATGTATGTTTCTTTCTACTATAAGTTGCAACTTCAAATGTTTTCTTTGTTAAATCTAGTTGAAACTTGCTTTATTCTAAATTTCTTACTTTAAATTATTGCTTTCAAGTTTGTCATTGTGTAACTTTATGTAAGTAACAAAAAAATTTAACCATTTGATCTCCTAGTAATAATTTTAGTTTAGCCCACCCACCAAATAATTCCTGGCTCCGCTATTGATTATACTGTCACATTATAGAACTCGAAAAAACTTCTAAACAACCTACAGCAGCCCCACAAGCATCGTCCATCTTGTGAACGAACAATTTTTCTCAGTTATAAAATTAACGGGTTTTTATCATAAATGGTCCCTGAGATTGATCAAACTCATCATTTTGGTCCCTTATTTTCAAAACCAACTAATGTCATCCCTAACATTCACTACCGCACATCAATTTGGACTTTCGGTTGAGATTCCATCAATTATTCTATTAGTTTGTTTGTGGGACCCACAAATCCAATAAAATTGTGACACATGGATTACACAAAATAAGGATTTTTTTATCACAAATGACCCCTGACATTGATCAAACTCCTCATTTTGGTCCATGAGTTTCAAAAATCGATAAATTTAAAACTAAAAGTAAAATAAGAAACCAAAAGCAAAAACTAAAAGAATAAAAAGACATCATCATCTTCATCTTGGTGTGCTAAGAATCAAAAATAAGGTACCATGGCACTGGTAAAGCACTTGGCCTCCCTAAACCCACTCCTCATTCCCTCTAGTTGGTTATAATGCTATCAAATTTGAATTGAATTTGGATTCGATTTTATCGAATTTAGATTGAATTTTTTATCCAATTGGGGTTGTGGGATACGAGAGAAATGCCAACGCGGAATACTCGTAAGTTGGTTCACTCTTAAAAGAATAGTTTCTTATAGTTAATCCACGTGGCGTCATATGATTGGACTACCGGGACTACATCAGCACACTAACAAAAAGTAATCACGATATTTTAACAAAATGACTAAATTGATGTGCGGTAATGAACGTCAGTAGTGGCGAAGCTAGGAATTGTCGAGGAGAAATGTGAACTTAAAGGAGTGCAAGGTTAAAAAATGACAAACCAATGAGGGATAAAACATCAATTATCGCTAACTTTCCTTGGCATGATGTGGGATTTAGGTTGGCAAGGGTATTTTAGAGATAGTGTTTACGATTTGCTTCATAATAATTTGGTGGATAATCAAGCATTCGACGTCTATGTCCAAGATCTTATAGTATCGTTTTATTACGTAACTGTATAATGGAAAAAAAAATTATTAGACTCTTAATCCTAGAGTAGACTATACCAATATGACTAATAACTAATTAAACTAACAATTCAATTAATCAATACCAAAAATCATACAAATTATTCAATAAACAAAAATTCAATTCAATTAATCAATATGAATAATCATATACATTATTCAAATAGCAAGTAAAACGATGCCGTTTTACTTTAAAAAAACAAAAGCCTTGCGCACAGTAAGCAGCGCAGTAGTATGAACAAATAGAAACAGCCACCATGTTTTCCAGTTTCCGGCCGAACTAGAGGGGGCTTAAGACTCGTTCCTAGGCTTGTTTTTCGGTGAGTGAAGGGGCGACTGCCCCTATGTAGCTTCGCCACTGAAAGTCAGGGACCAAATTTATCAATTTTTGAAACTCAAGGCCAAAATGAGGAGTTTGATCAATGTTAGGGACCATTTGCGATAAAAACCCTTATTTTGTGTGATCCATGTGTCACCATTTTATTATATTTATGGGTCCCACATACATAATAACGAAATAGTTGACGGAATCTCAACTAAAGGTCCAAATTGATGTACGGTAGTGAATGTTAGGGACGACATTGATTGATTTTGTATATTCAGGGACCATTTGTGACAAAAACCCTAAAATTGACAAAAAGATAGTAAGATACTGCATGCACGCTGTAACAACATGTCCCTAACTTTACGATTTTATTAATTTTTAAATGAGTGAATTGATGAAAATGCCCTAGAGGCTAGATTGTTGACTTTCGTTGACCACCTTTCGTGACGCATACGATTTATTATTTCACCGTACTCTCGAAGTTCTTGACATGACGATCATGTAAGCGTAATCTGAATCGAAACCGAAGTTACGATAGGGGTTTTACGGAACTACAAATCCGAAAAGCACTTTTGTAAAGATTACTATCTATTATTTTATATATTTCTCATAATTATTATATTATTATTTTAAAATTATTTGTTATTATATTATTAGTTTAATATTAGTAGAGAGGTTGTGGGAAAAAGAAAAGAAAAAAAGGAGGAAGGGGCAGAGCTACCTAACCGGGTGGGGGAGAGAGAGAGAGGTTGGCCGAATGGGAGCGGAGAGAGGAAGGAAGGAACCTATAGGAGAAAAAAGAAAGGAGGGAAAGGAGGGAAAGGAGGGAAAGGAGGGAAGAGAGAATGAGGGGGAAGAAACTAGGTCACCTCCTTAACCCGTTTTGTGACCCAACCCAGTTGAAATAAATGGAATCCGTGGGTTCCGCAGGCCAAATTCATTTAAGCTAAACCACCATCTGGGAAGTACCCTGCGACCCTCTCCTTATCATTTCCACCCCAAATCTGAAGAAATTAGGCTCGGAATCATGAAGAATTGCATCGGTGGGTGGGATGGGACACGCCGACTAGACCCGGCAGTTTTTGACATAACACGAAAATAACGGGTTTCGGGTCAACACGATAACTAATCAGGTTATTATCGGGTGACCCGTTAATAACAGGTTCTTAATGGGTATACACGTGGGTAACCTGTTTCGACCCGTTAAGAAAAAAAAATATTTTGATAATTTTAAAGTTTAATTACTAAAAGATTTATTATAAAATACAATAGCCATATTAATATATACAATATATTCTATATTAAATATATAGTTTTGTATTATTATTCTATATAAGTTAAAAAAAACGTTTTAGTCATTATTTATTTTTATTATGAGAGTTCCTTATTATCATTACTAGGTTAAATTGTACTTAATATGTTGTTGTCCAAAATTAAAATAAACTAGTATAGTATTTGTATAGGCAAGAACTAAGAAGACATACATACAAGTATGAAAAATGTGAAAAAATATATAAACACTCGTGATTCATCATTATTCCTCCACGAGTAGATAATTGTTACACTTACATTATCGTTTAGATTTTTAAAATCCTCCAAACCCTCATGAATAATGTTTTTTATTTGAGGGCAAAATTAATAAAATTAATAATAATTATTGTAGAAGTGTAAAAAAATGTAAAAAAAATATTCAACCACTCATAGTAACAAGCTTTACAACTTTCATGAAGGGGTCAGCTTCGAAATCCAACACTATAATCCATAAACCTTAAATTTATATTTAACCGTCGATTGTCATTTACACTTTATTCTTCTTACTGATCATTTTTTAAATTTTCTTTTTTTTGAAAACATGATCATCTAGTGGATGTAAGAAGATGAACAATTCAGACTTTTGATATCACATTTCGATATCAATATTTTCACTAACCGTAAAACTCTTAATATACTATTAACGATCCAAACTATTTATCTTCATGCATCCTCTAATAGATCATGTATTTAAAAAACAAAATCTAAAAAGACAAAATTTGATGAGAACAATGAAGCGTAAATGTAAACAACAATCAACGGTTAAATTTTGATCTATGATTTATATGATTATAGTGGTGAATTTCAAAGTTAAGCTCTTCATGAAAGTTGTAAAGCTTATCATTACAAGCGTTTATATATTTTTTTCTATATTTTTTTACACTTCTACATTAATTAAAAAACTATTAAAGACTTTACTTAAATAACAGCTGTAAGATAAATGAAAGTAAATATGTACCGTTGGATTCTATTTCACTTACATTATTAGAACTTTTTTGGACGAAAAAACCCCTTCTCTATTCCAATATTTTTCAATTTTACCATTTGATCAAAACAAAAGCCCTAATCCCTTTCTCTCTCCCACTCCTGTAACCCTCTCTCATGATCCCGCCGTCTGTTTTTTCCTGGCCCTTCTCTCCCGTCGTATGTTTAGTTCTTCCGGTAGCCTTTCTCAGTCTCTCTTTTCTCCTCCCTCGTGCAGTGGACGGAATCATCCTTGTCATCTCTGGTCGTCTCTACATCTCTGCATCTCTGCATCTCTATTCTCCAAATTCCACTCCAGGTTCGATTTTGCATCTTAATTTGGCTATTTATATGTAAGATTTTGGCTATTTCCTAAATAAGTTCAGTTATTGTTTTTTCATTTTAAGTTATGTTACTGCTTTAATCGATCTCCGCAAGAACAAAGTTTTACTGTACTTAGAATTGCAAGATGGTGTTGATTTAGATTCATTGTGGAAGGGAATTTAGAGGTTAAAAAAGGATGAGGATATGGATTTTGGGAAGCCTAGGATGGGGATGCATATTTATATATCCTGTCGAATTGGAGAGAAAGAAAAAGGTCTAGAGAGAGTTCGATTAGAGAGGATACGAAAAGGGAGATCGGGGTTACTGAAGAACATGTGGGTTTATGATTCCAAATCCTATTGACCTGCAGCTTTTAAGGCTCTGGTCATTAT